ACGTCTATTGCAGCATAACTAAGGGAGGATTCAGGGTCACCTGGTCCAGCCCTAACTATATGCTTTAGCAAAAAGGAAAGTTTGAAGCCTAATCTTAAAAATTTTAAAAATCATTATTCAAAAAAAATTTTTAATGAGGGGAAATAGGCAGAGCTTTCCAGGCTCTGCTCGACTACTCATCACCTTGACAATAATCGACTGGTAAGACTCGACTGTACACTGTGTTCGTGTTTTCCTCCCAAACAATAAGTTCAGTTGGAGCAGCCTTTCAATGCCTCTCTGTGTCTCTCGCAAAGTCGACCCAGACAACAAAGTAAAGCTAGTTTTCAGCTACAAGCCCAACACGAACCCGACGTATTAGCCAGAGGTCCCTTTACTACGGTTCGGAGCCGCGGATCTGTTATATATATGTGCCAAACAGTTTTCTATACGAGATTGCTGCAAAAAGTGCAGCCTTACCTAATGTCCACCTACTGTTACTCATTTATATTAAGATTTAAACATCTAGTTGGTGTTGGTATGGAGAGTAACCTTCAGTAATAGTAATAAATCACACAGCAATAGGACATTCATGTACTATTCAAAACACGTTACTCTCATTGAGTAACGTAACAGAATAAATTACAAACTACATTTTGGGGCATGTAGTCTGTAGTGGAATACATTTTTAAAGTAACCTTCGCATCACTGATGCTGACAGACAGCTCTAACCGTGTTTGTGTATGTCAGTATGTTTGATGTAGGAGGACAGCGGGACGAACGCAGGAAGTGGATTCAGTGCTTCAACGGTGAGGAAAAAACTGATTCTTTATCGATCAAGCCTGAAAGCAGCAGGGAGTTTGATGTGTGTGTGCACTTGCGTCCAGATGTGACCGCCATCATCTTCGTGGCAGCGAGCAGCAGCTACAACATGGTGATCCGTGAGGACAACTCCACCAATCGGCTGCGAGAATCTCTGGACCTCTTCAGATCCATCTGGACCAACAGGTTCTCTGACTGACTGAAGTTGCCAATTAAACTCTGATTGGCTGCCTTAAACAGGGCAGGGATAGCTCAGTAGGTAGAGTGGTGGACCCATGATCGGAAGGTCGGGGGTTCGATTCCCCTGAACAGCTACCCTGAGGTACCCCTGAGCAAGGTACCGTCCCTACACACTGCTCCCCGGGCGCCCAATGGCTGCCCACTGCTTCACTGAGTGAATGGGTTAAATGCAGAGAGGGATTTTCCCCACGGGGACCAATAAAGTACACTTTCTTCTTCTTCTTTCTTCTAAACACTTCCTACCAACTGAGTACATGTAGTTGACTGTCCTGTTCTCTGATTGGCCGTAGGTTCCTGAAGACTATTTCAGTGATCCTCTTCCTGAACAAACAGGATGTTCTTGCTGAGAAGATTCTGGCTGGAAAGTCGAAGCTGGAGGATTATTTCCCAGAATATAACAACTACCAGCTTCCTGCTGATGGTAAATATCCAAAGAGTGTGGAAAGTTAATGTCCTTGTCTCAAAGGTTTGCACTGAATTTCAAACTTGCTGCTCCTTCCTCCTGGAATAAGCTGCAGAATGTGCAGGAGACTTAAGGTTTGACTGAGTTTAAGGCCATTTTAAATGAGCTGAATGCAGTTAATTCAGGATGCAAAAGGTGTTTCCTGAATATTATTAGCTTTGTTTCTGGCCTTGGAGCGTTGCTTCTGAAGGCTTATTGTGACTGAAGTCTGTACGTGATTTTTCTTCCCCCCCTTTTGTGTGATTGACTGCTGTATGACTTGTGTGTATATATATGTGTAGCTTACGCCTGTAATGCTGTCATTCTTGGTTGGGACTTTTAATCTTGAGACTTTTTATTTTTTCCTGGTTGAATAAACACAAATTGAAATCTGTCCCACCAACACGTGAGTGCGCCTCGAGCACGTGAACACACCTCTTGACCATGCACACTTGTTTCAGCTGTTCCAGACACTGATGAAGACCCCAAAGTGATGAGGGCCAAGTTCTTCATCAGAGATGAGTTTCTGGTAAAATCGCTTCCCGCCTTGACATCACGCTATCACACGATGGCGTGTTCAGACTAACATGCGACTCCCGTTTCAGAGGATCAGTACGGCGAGTGGTGACGGCAAACATTACTGCTACCCTCACTTCACCTGTGCTGTTGACACCGAGAACATCCGCCGTGTCTTCAACGACTGCCGTGACATCATCCAGCGGATGCACCTGCGGCAGTATGAACTGCTCTGACTGCTGGGCGCCGCCTGGCCCCGGCCACTCTGAAGAAGCCGATAAGTAATGGAAGCAGATAGCCGATCAATGCTCATAGCGTTTGTGATATTTATTAGTGATTATAGATTAGGACAGACTCTTATTAGCTGTGTGTTCCATGTTCTTTATGTCCTGCAGGGCATTGTGGTCAGAATTATTGGCATGGCAGCAATGTGTCATGTGGGAGGAGGTGGAGTCTGGAAATCTATTTTTACATGTTATTTGTGTTATCTTTGCTCTGATTGGCTGATCCATTTGAATAATTAAACACCTTTGTTTACCTGTGAACTTGGGGTCAAAGGTCAGTCTTTATTCAGAAGCTGTTCAAATGTTTTTATTTGTTATTCAGAGAGCTAAGTGTTTACCTGCAGGTTGCCAGGTGTGTCCTGGCTCTGCTACGCCACGGTAACCTATAGACTCAAGATTCATGTCCACAGCAGATAGAATATAACGTGACAGGAAACGACTCTGTCTTCTAATCTGAAGACTGTCTTTCCAATTAATTTCCAAATTAAAATTCAGGGATCTTTCCCTTTTTAAAAAACAAACAACAAAAAAAAAAACCTCTTCACATTTTAAGAGTTTCACGTTGTTGATTTTGAACACTTTCTCAGAAACACAAGCTGTGACGATGTTTTCACTCTTTGAGAAGCAACAGCACACAGAGAAACTGGGGACTTTGAAGTGAGACCAGATTGTTCAGCTTTCTGCTCCTGAACAACTATAACATATCTTTATGGTTTGATCCAAATGAAACATACAAATAAAATTTTTCTTTTTTATTTTTGTTGCTGATCTTCAGATGAGAGTGCATCTAAATAAAGGGCACAGAGACACATAACTACTACTCTGTCATTAAAAGAGTTAGGAGAGAGTAATGTAGCTTACTGCCAACATGTAGATGAAAATGAGCTGATGGTAACTAACCTCAGGCTGGCAGTATTATACCTGCTGGCTTTAATGCCACAAACTAGCCAGGTGAGCAGGTGCAGATGACTCTGCCGGCTTGAGGACTCTGATCACCAGAGCAGGTACGAAGCACTAAAGTGATCTCGTTTATCCTCAGTCTTTACTAAAAACATCTAAAAACAATAAACTGTGAGAGGATGAGATAACTGAGCTATGCTGCAGAATCATGTACGTGTGTCTGGATTCTGACTGCCACCAGGTGAGAGGCATGTGTACCTGAGTGTGTCACCTGCTCATCACCAGGCACACCTTTACTATCCCATAGTTTGGGCTGTGGGAGAACAGAGATATCTTTAAACCTTCTTCCTGTAACAGCGCCACTTGAACTTAGGACAGGTACTTTATCAGCTGGTTTATACCTGCACAACTAAGCACGCAACACTGCCCCCTGATGGTGAAGCTTCTCTTAAATTCTCTGATTAAACATTCTCACATTAAACATTTCCTGTGGTCCGAGTCAGCTGATGGCTTTGTAAAGTTTCATATAGGATAAGGTCAGATCATGTGAACGCCATAAATGAATGCAGTGATGGGAAAACAAATGCAAGTCTGACTTAAATGGGCTAAACACCATAGGTGTGAAAACACCCTAAGACTGTAATTGGAGTATTCTCAGTAATCTGAGTAATCTTCATGTAAACAGTTGGTTTTTATGCTGTGTTGTGGACTGAATATTTTTAAGTATTGGAGTACCTGTAACAGCTGTTACCATGGTTACTGCTCATCATGTACTAATGTTCAATCGACTTGAAACAATCCACTTCCTGTACAGATGTTTCTAACATGGTCGGCAGGTCAGAAGGGTCTGTGGCCACATTTTCTACAGGTGCACCAGATCTTCTGAACTAGTCAAAAGTAAGTGGACAGACCGACATGATCTGTCACTCTGTCCTCCAGTGAGTCAGAGAATGACTCATGACCTGTATGTGATGCCAGTGATGTTTAAAAATAAAAGAAAAAGCTTTTATTCTGAAGAGTATTACATTTTTATTTCGCCTGTAAAGTCAGACAGGTACAGACAGGTGGGACATTCGGGCTCTGTGCCTCCTTCACCAACTCCAGTAACAGGTGAGCACATCTGTCAAGATTTCTTCTTCTCTGTTATTATTAACTGCAGGTGACCTCACGGTGTGTTCAAAGCTCTCTGTGTAAAAACTGCTTTTCTGGAACCACTCCTCTGTCCGTCCACTGTTCTGGTCAAAGAGATCCATGCAGTTCTCTGAGATCCTGACTGCGTGTCGCTCGGATGGTGCGCCTGCTGAATTTGGACTAGTTGCAGCTGGATAGTGTAGTGGTAAAACTACACACCTCTGGAGTGCAGGTCACAAATTCAGTTCCCACCCAGTATCCAGTAAGGGTTCTGGCTAGATCCCTCATTCTAAAAACCAGCCCTGGAGTGACGCGGCTATGTCTGCAGCCTGTCCGCAGTTCAGGACACAAGCATTTCACCACATGTTCACTATATGTTGTACTGTGTATGTGACAAATAAAATCTGTGTCTGATAAAAGGGTGGAAATAGAACGATAGTGGCGTTCACGAGGGACATAAAAAAAATGTTTAACGTTTGCAGCCTGTCTGTGTTTTTCCAACACTGGCTTTCACCTCCAGTCTCTGATGTTAGAGGGCGCTCTCCTGCGCGCCTGGTGGAGGCAGTGTTGCCAACTAAGCGAGTTTGTCGCTATATTTAGCGAGTTTTCAGACCCCCTTAGCGGCTTTTTTTCTAAAAAGCGACTAGCGATAAATCTAGCGGCTTTTTCTGGTATTATTGGAGACTTATTTATGACGACTTTTTGACGTGAAAGTGTGTATCGCTCTTACTCTCAATAAGCAGCGGTGCTGCCGTGGGCACCTCGCCCGTTCCAAAGCACTCACGGGCGGAGGTAGTCCTCCCCCAGCTGCTATCAGGGCAGAAGATGTTCACACCTATGCGTCCAAACTGCAAATGAAT